AAAAAAAAAAAAAAGGTTGAGAAGTTAGAGGGTTGATATGTTGTGGGGTTGTTAACCAATGTCATAAAACAACATGTGTACTTCTGTTTCATGAGAAACTATTTCTTCTATAAGCCTTCACCTGAAGCACAATAAATAAATAAATTACAAGAAAAAAAAAAATAAGAGGGCATTCCTAAGAGTAGCAGGTCATCATTATTCAATAGTGAAAACCCTTCAGAGTTAAGGGAGACACTAAATATAAACCCTGCCTAAAAAATAGTCTACAGACTCTGGGGAGTTGCCAGAAACATTTCAATCAGGAAACATGAAAGAACTCTGTAAAATATTAGCGGACAATTGGGGCGGGGTAAGTTGAAGGGGTGATGAGAGGGTTCTAAAGGATGAATAAAGAAGAGGGAAGTATATACTTCACTTTTTGTCAAACCACTTCAGACATTTTAAAACCTTTCCACTTAGATTCTAATAAAACAAGCCTTTCCCTAAGTTTCCACCAAAGCCTGGGTGCAATTTCAGCACAGTTTTATTAATGTGATATAACAAACTTTAAAAAACAAAAATGAAGTAATCAAAAGAAAAAAAAATGCTTTTTTTAAATCACGCATTTAAGCACTCAGTTTCAAAACTTACATCTGAACCCACACTTCTCATGGTACTTTGTAGGACAGGTTTAGACACGGAGAGTTTTCCATTCACTGGGGTATTCGCCACAGGGGCTGGTAGCACGTTCATCACGTGATTAGGTAGCTGTGCAGCTCCACCGGCGACAGCAAGGACTGGCTGTGGGGGAGGCAGAACTCCAGGTGCCTGGAGCTGTACCATAGCAGGCTGAGAGAGCAGAACAGTCTGACCTGCATTAAAGAAACGGAGAAAAGGAATCAGAAGGTGCACACCTACTGTGGCAGGGGAAGCAGTTCAACATTTGTGTTTCTTCTGCAGATATAACAGGTAGGGTCACACTGAAAGATTTGAAAACCAAAAAGCCAAAACCACTGCCGTCGAGTCGATTTCAACTCATAGCGACCCTACAGGACAGAGTAGAACTGCCCCATTGTGTTTCCAAGGAGTGGCTGGTGGATTCGAACTGCTGAGCTCTTAACCCACTGCGCCACCAGGGTTCCAAGGAAGGGATTTGAAACCACCAATTAAAACACGATCAATAGCACCACACATTCATGGCGACTTCTGTTTTTGTTGTGTTTTTAATGAAATCAATTAGAATCATTCCCTTTGATGTTACCATTAATGATACATTTCCATATTTCTTTTTCTCAATTATAAACATATCAAATTTGCTAAGTAATACACAGATTTCTCTAAGTATTAACCTCTGAAATGTATTAGAGGTAAATAGATTTCTCATAAATAAGAAATCTTTTACACTGAATACAGAGAACCATGTATTTTAAATTAATAGGGTTTACAAACACACACAGAACCAAAAATATACAAACAGCAACTCAATACTTAAAGAACAAAGAGCTGTAAGTATCAAAAAAAGTTAAAACAATTTGGGATGAATTTTTGGTTAATAAGCACAGTAAACACATCTATGTGTGATTTAAAATAGTCTGTAGAAAATACCAACCATGCTCCCTCCCCTCCCCAAAAAAAGGCCTACTAAATATTTTCTTAGTCTTTACATTGATCATTAGTTTAAAATTATGCTCATCTGAGGAGAATCAGTATCACTATGCTAAAGAAGACTCATACAACTCATAACACTGGTCTACTAAAAATTTTACTTGCTGCTGAATGTTTCCTTTTAGATCTGGCCAATTATATAAGGTACTGAAAGCCTCTCCTAATTTCCACAAGTGCTTGAAGCCTGTCTAGCAAAATAAAGGTACTACAGTAACAAGCAACAAAAATCCCATATAAATTTATAATTCTTCTTTAAGAATAAAAAGGCATTATATTTTCAGGCAGTTTAATGTGACCCACGTAAGACTCAGCTCAGTATTTCAAAGGATCAGAGAATACTAAAAATCAAAACAATGCTTCAGAACACCTGTTTGTTAAGAACATCTGTCTTAGCTAAAAAAGATCACTTTTACAAAAGCAAAATCTTTATGTTTCAGATGGCCTCAAAAAGCATACTAAGTAGCAGAATTCAATTAATATCATTTTATACCAGATAAATTATTAAGACGGAAATATCTAAAAAATAATTACATACATTTTTAATTTGTACAATTTACTTGGGTATAAATGATCACTAACCATTTTTATCTTGTCATTTTCCTGGGACTAACTTCTTTTACAAAATAAAAACATAAAATGGGGAAATGACTCATAAGCAGATGTAAATATGCATAAGCCAAACACGCAAATGAAAAATAATTAATACATAAAATAAATAGTATACCACCAAGTGTTAGAATTTAGTAACACTTATTTATTTTTAAGTTAAATTAAGTGTAATGACTTAAAAAAGTTTAAATGACACTTATTTAATAACACATGTGTATTTAACAGACAATCATTCTGGAACTATAAAAAGCATACTCAACATAATTGAAAACTTAAACCAGGGGTTTCCAACCCTTTTCAATGTAAGTACTCTTCTTTAATATCAAAAAATGTCATGGTCACACAAAATGATCATGGTTGCCCCCTCAGTTTCTATGAACTGAGAAAATACATGATGAGAATAGACTATTAAAAATTTAGTAATGATTTAAAATGAATTTTTAGTTTATTCATCAGAAGTGCAGCAACAAAAAATTGAAAAACAGCAGTACAGAGCTATATGAAATCAATTATTTATTAAGTCTACAGAAAATGTTTGATACAAATACGGATTTGCAGACACCTTGCAAAACATTATAGTCTACCCCTACTACCCATACCCCAGGGTCCACAGTCTACAGCTTGAGAACCACTGACTTAAACCAATACTCTGAGGAGACTACTATAGGACAGCAGTGTTCCATATCCTCTGAGTTTATAAAAGCATGATAAAAAAAAACCCCAAAAGACAAAACACTGTTCAATAAACTTCTGGGACTATTAAAAGAACAGAGGAGCTAGTAAGCATAAAAAATTAACCCACTTCAAAGAAAGCATTCTACTTCTAGCTCCAGTTACAGATGTAAAGCATTGGCAGATAACACAGCAATTAACATGCAGATGGTTTTGTAAAATTTCTTAAAGCTAATTAAGAAGAACAGTCCAAGTCTGTGCTGTCCATTGCTGAGTTATCACGTTCTCCTTCCTGAGAGAGCTGCATCACAGAGTGAGGGAGATGGAAGAATACCAAGGTAAGGTTGTATGGTCTGTATACCAAATCTGGCTCCAAGTCCTACCAGACCACTGCTGCCTCCTTTTTGTCTGTAATGCACATCAGGCCCTCTCACTCCAAAATGCCTAGCTACCATGAAACTACCTGGCAACTCTATCAAGGATCCTCTAAATAAAATGCTGCCCTTTCCATGATGGAAGTAGTCCAATGTACTCAACTTGCCAACAGGTTGCTGGCTGATCGCCCAAAGGAATGGTGCCATATCAGGGACTCACTTGGTGAGTGGAAGCCCATGTTGCTGAGCCCATGCATAACCTCCATCCCTGCCACCATGGTCACTTTGTTCATGACCCCATTGGGCATGACAGAAGTGGCTGGGGAAAGAGGATGACTGGTTTCCACAGAATGTGTCATCCTATCCACTTGATTATTAAAATCCTCCTATGCCTTTGGTGAGCATTCACATGAGACACAAATATCTTCACTTCTCTGGCCCATTCAGAGAGGTCTATCATCATACCTCTTCCCCATACCTCCTTGTCACCAATTTTCCAATCAAGTTCCTTCTAAGTCCCTGACCATGTAGACAAACCATGGGCCACATCCCACAAATCAGTATACAATTGCACATCTGGCCATTTCTCTTTCCAGGCAAAGTAACCAACCAGATGCACTTCTCGAAGTTCTGCCTATTGGGAAGATTTCCCTTCACCACTGTCCTTCAGGGAGATTCCAGAAAGGGGCTGCAGTGCTGTCACTGACCACTTTCACATGTGCCTGCACATCGTGCAGAACCATGTGTAACCCAGCACAAGTCTTATCTTCCTCAGTCAAATGAGTGTAAGAAACTCCCAGGAGGCCACAAGTGCAGACTGGGAGAAGGCAGGTAATGGGACAGGAGTGACTCAATGGAATTTAGTGGCTCAGTGTCCCCAGGTTCCTAATTATCTGCCCATATGTCCCCATCCCAAGTTTCAGGATCCCATTTCTTCCCAATCAGTGCCCTCACTTTAACTTCAGACACCATTCAAGTTTGGAAATTCATTTGGTGTTATAATTCAGTTACTCTCATGATTAAGACCCTGGGTTTGGTTTTCGGCAATATCAGCCATTAGAGTGACAGAATGGATTAAAAAAACAGGATCCATCAATATGCTGTCTACAAGAGACAGAAACAAAGACAAAAAAATATTAAAAATCAAAGGATGTTAAAAATATACAAGCAAACAGCAACCAAAACAGGAGTGGCAATACTAATCTCAGATAAATTAGACGTTAAAACAAAATCTACGATTCAAGACAAGGAAGGACATTATATAATGATTCAAGGGACAATCCACGATGAAGACATAACTATAATACATATCTATGCACCCAATGACAGGGCTCCAAAATACATTTAAAAAAAACTCTAACAGCACTGAAAAGAGAAATTGACAGTTCCACCGTAATAGTAGGAGACTTCAACAAACCACTCTTGGTAAAGGACAGAACATCTAGAAAGAAACTCAGCAAAGATACAGGAAATCTAAAGGCCACACTCAACCAACATGACCTCACAGACATACATAGAACACTCCATCCAACAGCAGGAAAGTACACATTCTTTACCAATGCACATGGAACATTTTCCAGAATAGTCCACATCTCAGGCCACAAAGCAACCCTCAACAAAATCCAAAACACTGAGATAATACAAAATATTCTCTGATCACAATGCCATTAAAGTAGAAATTAATTAACAGGAAGAACAAGGGAAAAAAATCAAATACATGGAAACTGAATAACACCTTGCTTAAAAACCATGGGGTAATAGAAGAAATCAAAGAGGGAATAAAAAAATTCCTAGAATCAAACAAGAATGAAAACACATCATACCAAAATCTTTGGGACACAGCAAAGGCAGTGGGCTCAGAGATCAATTTATAAGAAGAGACCCACACATCAAAAAGGAAGAAAAGGACAAAATCAAAACATTAGCTATACAACTTGAACAATTAGAAAGAGAACAGCAAAGAAGCCTACAGCCACCAGAAGAAAGGAAATCATAAAGATCAGAGCAGAAATAAACAGAAGAGAATATAAAAACAATAGAATCAACAAAACCAAAAGTTGGTTCTTTAAAAGGTCAACAAAATCAAGAAACCACTGGCCAAACTGACAAAAGAAAAACAGGAGAGGACACAAATAACCCAAATAAAAAATGAAATGGGGGACATTACAACAGACCCAACTGAAATAAAAGGGATCATAACACAGTACTGTGAAAAACTATACTCCAACAAATTTGAAAACCTAGAGGAAACGGAGAAATTTCTAGAAACACATTACCTATCTAAACTAACACAAACTGAGGTGAAAAATCTGAACTGATCCATAACAAGAGAAGAGGCTGAAAAGGTAATTAAAAAAAAAAAAAAAAAAACTCCCAACAAAAAAAAGCTATGGCCCAGATGACTTCACTGGAGAATTCTACCAAACATTCAGAGAAGAACTTGCACCAGTTCCACTCAAACTATTTCAGAACATAGAAAAGGAAGGGATACTTCCAAATTCATTCCATGAAGCCAGCATAATCCTGATACCAAAACCAGGCAAAGACACCAC